TGCTCATCATAAAGTCAAAACATCCTCCACAGTCTTAAAGCAGACGTAATCATCCGTTAACTGTACAATAATTGGTCCTTTCCTCACCTGAACTAATTGTAGATTCTCTTATTTCTTTTTGCAACTCTTTCATTTCAACATCTGCCTCCTGAATTTCAAAATTAAGTGCAACTGCACCTCGTAAGAATCTAATACGTATATTTTAAAACCATATCATTGCAGATGTTTACAAGTATGCGGGATTCATGAATTATGCGCTCTTTGATTGATTGTGGTTAAACCAAAACCAAAGTAATAGCAATGGCTAGTCGGTAAATTTTTTTGCCTTTAATAGCCAATGAGAGTCCAGGGTAAACACAACTAACTGCCTAGAGCGCGGGAAAGCGCTGGAAAACGCTAGCGACCAAGTCGTGATTGGTTTCAGTTTTGCATCTGATTGACTGAGAGATTGGTGCGAGGTTTCCTGGACCAATCACAGAACGAGGTAAAGCAAAGCCAGTGCAATCGCGGATTATTTTCGACACTCAATTGAAAATTGTCCTATCTACATTGTATCTTCGATGACACTCGCAAAAAAAAAAAATAAAACCAAAAAAACAAAAACAAAAAAACACTCTTGTACTGACCTCATAGTTTATATCTCTTGCCTCAGGGGCTGGTGTCACCATCATAGAGGGATCAGTTCCCAGATAGGCACAATGAAGGTAACCTCCTTCGTCCAGTGTCACTATTACACCTTGTAATTCTCTGTGGTAAAAGTTCGCAAAAAAGAAGAAGATCATTCATAAGCGTGTTTCGTGACTGACTGATCGCTACGGCTACAACACACTAGGGAAAAAATCACAGTGGTATGCCACAGCAACACGTCCCAACAACAATTTACTTTTGGTGAAACGCAGAATGATTGAGAAAATCTGTCACTGTAACAGAATTTTCTCACCGTAAAATTGGATCACAGAAATTTCCATTTGTATTTGTCTCAACCGAAAGCTCATTTGGTATCCAAGATCAGGAAAATTCTTCCGCTGACACAAAATCTCTCTGCCTTAATATCCATGGGGTAAAACTTTCTTTTTATTCACTGCGGAGAACAGTTTCGTAACTTATTAGGTATCCAGTCGTTTCGTACCCACGGACGTTTCGCACCCACGGAAGTTTCGCACCCATCCCACTGATTGATTCTTACCCGTCCCGACATTAAGTGACTATCAAAACCTGGAGATCTCACGGAATACTTCACAAGCGGGCGCGTGAACAGATGTCGATTGTTGCGTACGTTACGAGTCAAGTGAGTACGATACAAGAAGAGTTCTGCTCTGTGTACTTGTGACCTTCTTAACAAGAACCAGACCAGACCCCTGTGACATTTTTAAATAGGAACTCTCTGTTGACAAAAGGAGCTTCTCAAAATACTAATAGATTCGTTGTTTGTGGTATATTTTTTTCTATGGTATTTCTTTAAGACTTTACACAAACCTATGAAAAGCAATGTCTTTTATGATACAGTTAGTTTCAGCAAAACACCAACATGAAGTAGCCTCAGTTGTTTTTTTCACCTTAATCTTTCCATCAACTTACTGAAATGAAGCTACTTTAAGAGCAACAGGAATGTGGGGTAGTTGCGCCGCCCATGCAAGTGTAACGTCTTGGTATATCATCAGCGTCTTGTTGTAAGTGGCTACCAGAGCATTAACTGTCTCTTCCACCACTGAAAAGCAGGTTAGAGAAGGAATGATTGATGGTCAAAATAATATATTCCATTAAGAACTGGACCATTGGATAATGCAATTCGAGAGTTTTCATTGGCTTGGCGTTCGTGGATTACGAGCCGTTATAGCATGTGTACGCATGAATAACAGTTAAAACGGAAACGTTTTAGTAAATTGTAACATTCCATTTGTTCTTACAAAATGGAGTTGGGAAGATTCATCTATATTTTGGCGCGTTTTCAATAAAACAATTATTCCACTCACGCCCGTTTGATACGAGATGATTATAGCTATCTATTATCTTATATCCAACGCGAGCTTGTGGAAGAATTCTTTATAAAACCATGGTCATTCTTTTATTCTTAGGCAAGACACGCACGTGTAAACTCTCACAGTGCCTGTGTCCATTTTGGAGAATAAATGAGTCCCGGTGAACTTTCAGGCCTAACAAGAAGTTTAACTCTTTCTCATAAATTAACTAATTATCCTTACGTTCTTCCATACTATTCTTAAGATCTCAGTTTGGAGAACTTAATATTGGATCAACCAACAATCCCCCAATTTACATTTTCCTTGATTCTCAATACCTGTCTGCATGATATTGTAGTGGTATTGTAAGGAGAAATTCTGTTTTGGTCACCCAAGTTAGTTAAAGGATTAAGGGTAACCTGTACTGGACTAGCTGCATAGCAACAATCCTCATTGCATCTCTTTATGGAGACTGAGATAAGCTGCAGTACCTTTCAGAAAATTGGTAAAAAGAGCGGACTACTCTAGTTTATCTTAATCTTGGAATTAGAACTACTGTACTAAAAAACAAAAATCAAGGAAGTAACCAGTGCAAGGACAACGCATCAATCATTAAGAATTGTTGTAAAACAATTATTCAATGAAAAATTGTCAAATGCTTGTGAGAAAATACTTTGTGGCTGGTATGATGCTGGGTTTAGTCTTGGCTAAAACTATCTTTAATAGGAAATTTAACAATATTTTCTTACCTGAATTGTACGGAATGAAACAACTTGGATTATATTCAAATTTTTTCATGAATCTAACTGATCCATTCTCATTAAGACAAAACAATGAGCGTTCACCTAGAGACAAAACAAAATAAATTTAAGTTTTCATGTACACTGTACCATGTAAGTTGTGTTTAGAATTTGCTTTGGTTTAACAATTTTCAATCCTGAATTTAATTTTGATTTTCGTTTATCTTAGATCCGTTAATCAATTATCAAAACCTCAAGGAACCTTGGGAAAAAATAATCATGGTTTTGAATTTTTAAACCGATAAAAAATAATATTTTGAACCACAACATATCCAACCTTTCATCTTGTAGTTTCAAAATTTTGACAATAATAAATCAAATTAATTCAAGACAGGTGACAGTTTTAATGTACCAGTTGTTAGAAGTTCCAACATCCCTTCCCACAACCAACGGGAATTTGACCATTGTCTGTGCCTAGGGGGTAGAGAATTTGAACCTTACACAGCTGGGGTAAGGAATTTGAACAGGAAATGTCAAGTCTTTCCAGCCAAACACAAGTGTCAAATATTTAAATATGGAGGTGTTTGAGGTAAACAGTTCACTTTTGTGCGCAAGTACCGCAGAAGAAAAGATTCGTGCAAGGTCTAGATATTGAAGCTTGGTCTCTTTGAAGAAAGTCTTTGCCTTCTAGAAGAAAATTGGGTAGGTCATTTGAACACAATTTTTGCTACATGGGGTGGGAATTTAAATAAACCCATCTTCAAAAGTTCAAATGCCTTTGGGGAGATTACCTGGTGGAATTGCCCAGGGGAGGGTGGGGGGAGGGGGAGGGAAGTTGAAGCTTCAAATTGATTGGTGCATAAAATCAATATAATGCTAATAATATTAACAATAATGGTAATAATAAATTAATAAAAATCATATCTGATATCATTATTATTACCATTACAACTTTATATCTCTTACCTAAAACATAAATTGATAGTGGTGCATTTGCACTGGTGAAAACAACTATGTCTATTGCACTTTCACCAATATTTGATGACCAGTCGATCTGCAAAATAAACCTCATTGGAACTCAGGCAACCTGAAGTACTTGTTTAAAAGCTATCCTAACTATTCTGTGGCATCTCATTCAACATGTAGAAACATGCAACTGAGCAAATGGCTGGTAATGCAAAAATTGTGATTTAAAATGTCAAAAAATATCATAATTTGTGTCAATAAATGCTACATGATGGCAAATTGACATGGTAAAAATTGAAAAGAAAGTATGAAATTGTATGAGGAGGTTTGCTGCATATCTTAATTTCTGACTTACATTGCACAAATTTGTTAGGAATGATACAGATGGCAGCACTACACAAAATACCTGGCACTATTTAGAAGTTATAATGTACAAGTATATATGCAGCTTTCGCATCTCACGGAGACTTACAGTTAACTTCTTTCCTGAAACTTTTTTATTTCCAATATCTTCTTTTGTGTTCGCATCTGTTGCCACAGCAAGAGTCTGGTATCTGTGAAATAAACAGCAAAAATTTTCAGTACATATGTGGTATTGACCAAGCAGTATGGGCTGGATATTGGCAGAGTTCTTTTGTCAATCCTGAGTTGGCAAGATGGACCCATCTTCTTGCCTTGGGCTAGCAAATCAGAATGAAAGATTTACTTTATATCACCCATGGGTCCTGCCAGCTATAATGTTTGTAATAAATGAAGCTGCAGTGGTGCTTTTTCCAGACACTTTTCTTGAATCAATTCAGACAGCTGATGGTTCACAATCAGACACCACTCTAATTTTTGAAATAAACTAATCAAAATAAAAAGCATTCTAGGCTCCACACAACACATTCATGAATATGAAAGCCATCTTCGTAGTAATGAACACTGCTTAAGCAGTGGGGAAAATAAGGCCTGCACAGGATTAAAAATCTATCACCTCTATGATACTGGTGCAGTACTCTACTGAGCTAACAAGCCACTGGGAGCTGGTTATTATGTTGGTTCTTACTAAACTTAATAGAGCACTGCACTGCAGAGATCGCTTTCATATTCATTTCATAAAACCACAATTCACAAATATGATTTTCATATATCCACAGTCATCAACAAATTTGTTTTAAGCTGTGTATTTTAATATCTACATCTCAAGAGAGCTGTGGACCTTCTAAGCTTATGAACTAAATTCCACAGGAAAAGAAGTTCAACTTTACAACACAAGAGAACAGAAAAATAAGAAAAAAAATTAACATTGGGTTTCAATAAACAGCAAGTTTGTGTACATATGGGTAAGTTCTCAAGAAATCATTGCCAGCTCTTAACCTTTTCACTCCCAGAAGTGATTGACATGTTACTTCTCCTCAAAATATCCATAAACCATCCAGCATACATGTAATGAGAATACTCGAACTTATCAGGTAGAAATTGTCATCTTGATTTAACACCAATTTCTTGTAACTAATTTACAAGGAAATGTGGAGAAGCTGAAGGGGAGAATTGACAATAACATTTTGGGAGTTACAGTAAAGGTCAAACCAAGGCAACAATCTAGTCTAAATAAGAACTGCTTCAGGAAAAAGTCTTACTTGTAAGATTCAATCAGCCTTGATGAGCTACAGGTTACAAATGAATCTGTCTTTGGCACATAACTCAGAGGACCAGGTAAAAGAAAACCTGGGAGAAATCTCCCAAAGGCAAAACTCTCTTGTTCAAAGAATGACAACATTCCATCCATGGACTGGATACATATGAAGTCCTTGTCTGAAAAAAGACCAACCAAAGAAATCAACACATAGAAATAGTATAGACTGAGAGAGACAACCTACATGTAACCACATTATTCTGTCTCAATTATTATGCAAATTACCTTCAGATATTTTTTAAATGCTACCTACTGCCCAAAAGTAAATTGACAGTCTCGACTCAAAAATCCATCCTCAATACTCAAAACTATTGAGAATTGAGAATTGAGGAGGAAAGATTGGGGATCAAGGATCAAGGATTGTGGATTGAGGGACTGTCAACTTACTTTTGCGTGGTACTATATATTTATCAAATTTCAAAGCACTGCCTTCTTGTTACAGAAAAAATTTATACCTAATAACATGGTTTTGATACAGTCAAAGGAAATATACTTTATTATATCCTTTACTTTTGCAATTTTCAGACTGAAAGACAACAAACTCCTCCTACTTGGAAGACATGTTTTTGCATGACCAACATCTGTGTTAGTTATAGAGAGTGCTTGGAAAAAACAACAGTGGAAAATGCAACAACCTAACTTCACAGTATGCGATGATAATTTTTGAAATAAAATGAAATTGGCATACTTTTGACACTTCCGAAAGGGCCATATGTCATATTATATGCTGTTCTTTCCAAAATATGTTCATACATCATCTTAAGTGTGTAGTGATTTCCATGTTCTACAGCTCCTGAAACAACTAAAAAGGGAAGATGTTGTAAGTTATAAACTGAAACAACAAATACCCACCTTTCCACAGTATACAAAATCATTTACATGTTTCAGTTGTGGTTTAATGTTATCCTCTGTTCAAATTCAATTCTAATTTCTCTGTTTTGGGTAACTATGATTATAAATTAATGACAAGGTACTTTGGTGTTATCATCGGAATTAAAAACATAAATTAGCCACCCTTAAGAGTTTCAAAGCTGACATTTCGAGCATTAGCCCTTTGTCATTGCTCTGATGAGGGGCTAATGCTCATGGCATCAGCCTTGAAAGTCTCAATGGTGGCCAATTTATGTTATCAACTCAGATGATAATACCAATGAAAGCTTGTTATACTCTCCCACTAATGCAGCACCACAGTTTCTTTTGAAACTTACACCATTTATTCATTTATGGTAATTAATGAATCATGTGCATATAGATTGATTAAGATTTAAACCAGCTAATAAATGAAATCGAACCAGTGTGTCAACCATCTCATTCGAAGGTTATGTTGGTTTTATACGGCAACTTAGTGGCAGAGAAGGTGTATTTAATGACAAAACAAAGCAGTGGCTACAACTGAGCATAAATCATTCAGCTGGTAAACAAACTTCAAAAGAATAAACAATCATAATTAGGAAAATAAATATGATACCACTGGCTTACCTGACACGCTATAAACAGCAAGTTTTCTTGGATGAAGAACAGCTAAGTGTAACTGATCAACCCCTCTGAATAGAAATCAATGAAACATTGCTATTTTTAATACACATAGCTTACACAGTATTTAGTGGGATTTGCTAGCATGAAAGTTGTAAAACATTTGCAATTATTATTCCATTGACTTACGAAACAAATTTGCCAGCTTCCACTTGCAAAATTGGCTGTTGTAGCTGTACTTCCAACATAAGATCTTCTGGTTTAAAATGAGGTGGCTTGGGACAATAAATTCTAAGGATTCCATGAAAACTACCAACTATAATTTTATCTGAAAAATACACATGTGATCAATTAATCATTTGCTTTTAATTGGTTCTTCTACAACAACTGTCTTTGAATTTGTATTGGTAATAGGACTAAGTGGAGTCCAGTTCAGTCTGCAATCATAAGAGCAACTAACAAACTAATGGACAACTGCGAAGCAGAAATCCAATCTGTTAATAATGAGTATGATTGCAGACAGAACTGGATGACATGAAGACCTTTTACAATCAATCATAACCGTTACAATTTCTGGAAAAAAATACATCTAGAACAAATATCCCCAAAGGAGACAATGTGTAAAGTTAAAACTTCCTCTATTTAGGAGATTTCCCAGTTTTTTTTCTTTTTAAGGATAATAATGATTAATAACAAACTTTAAGAAAAAATTTTAATTGACTTGTTTTTTCCCTTGGTTTCAGGTACATAACCACAAACCTTAAACAAATTAAGTTATAATATAGCTAGAAAATTTGTCTAATCAAATTCAATTGTGTGAGCATGCTTCATATTCCTATTGTGCATGCTCGTGATGTTAGCAAACAAATCCCTGGAGAAAAAAAAATTGGAAAATGTTATAAAACAATTGGTTCATATGTCAGCTGTGCATTCATCGAGATATGAAGCACTTGGGAAGTTTGGAGAGCACTCATGAAGCCAGAGTTGCTCTCAGCTACGCCTCAAGCAACTCTTACACATCTTTCAAAGGGTCAACGATACAACAGCCAAGTACATGTTTACTTTCTTATAGAAACATAACAGACAAAAAAAAACAGAGATGGGATTGCAATTATTATACTACTTCCACAACATGAACACTGGAACAACAGCTGAACCAACTCTTCCAACAGCTTCTTTCTCTTTTCACATAAAAAAGAGTGATGACCAGTCAATAACACTGTCTCATTGTCAAGGTTTTCTATCACATAATATTTTTTCTCCCTACTATGGAGTTCTCTCCAGAGAGTTTTTAAACAGTAGCTTGCTAGAAACAAGTGAGTGTCAAAATAGCTATTCCACTTACAATCACCTATTGTTTTCTTTTCAGTCTTTCCATCAATCTTTTTGTTTATGTACAACAATTTAAAAAAAAAGGTTTCATTTACTTCAGATCAAGACAGGGTTGCTTGCTTTGTCTCATCAAAGTCACACATCGGAAACAAGTAGCTAGTGAAAACCCAGCTGCTGGAGAATATTGATGTTCAGCTGAAGAAACACATCTATTTATAACTGTTAAATGAGTGAATGCCTCTGTTAAGCTCTTTCCACTTAACATGGGTATTGTCTTGAGGCACAAAATGTAAACTGATTTTCTGCCACAGTCTATCCACAGTTCTCCAACAAATTTTTGTTAAAAAATTTCCCACCAAAACAGAGTCAGGTACAAGATATTTAAGCTCAAAATATGCACATGATCTCTTTAACAATTCTATATAAATTAAGCTTGGGCACTAAAAGTGTGTATAAAAGACGACAACAGAAATATGAGAATTCAACGATGCACCTCTAAGAGCATAATCAGATTTCTTCCATATAGAATTTTGGTTTGTTAAGAAATAACGTATTTTCGTTTTTAACGATCCACAATCTACACCGATACTTACATAAACATAGCGATTGGTGCCGTTAGCAACGAGCCTAAAAAAACATGGCTTGAGTTGATAGGTAACCTAAGTGATAATCACATATAGGTCATCTTCAACTGTTCCGCAAAGAACACGTACTTTGAAAATCGTTGATTTAAGAGAGGTCTAAAACAAAAATATAGCAACCCTAAAACTGATTATTTTGTAGCCTTGGGATGGCAATAAAGCTTCCACAGACTAATTTACCTTCTTTCATAATGACAACCACATTAAACATCACACGAATACCTGGCCGATGTGTTACAGATTTTAGAGAAAGCAAAACATCTCGAAGACTTACCCAACTGCAAGCCGTTATTGTCGATATTTGCCACACACAAGCATCCAAGATCGAATTCTTCGTCGCTTCCTGCATAGGTGGCCCACCAATCTCTCGCTTTGAACAGCGACATCTTTGGATGCGAGAAGATTTAGTGTACCGCGGTTACTCAAACAAAGTCACGTGACTTATGCACAGCCGACGTCGCGCGACTCGGACAACGATTGCTGCCGGACAATCTCCGACTTTCTACGAAATTCAATCAAATCTAAAACCTTCAACTGAGATATTCTCCCTTCTGGCTAACATGCATTTCACCGCCAATTTGTTGAGAGAATTTGTCGTTATATCGACAGTGAGGATATATCGCAGCGGTGCCAAGATAATAAATTTTTCGGGAGATGAACACGGATTAAACATACTTGAAAGCTTGTTCTTGGTCTGGGTGGTGATTTGTGTGGTTCCGCCTTAATTAAGTGATCGTTTGTTACACGTGGAAGACATTATAAACAGGCCGTTGGAACTTAGTAAAGGGTGACCGCGACCGCTTAATAAAGGTGAAAATTATGGTGTTAAATGGGAAAGAATTCGGGACTTTGACAAATGACCGCTTAATACAGGATGGCCGCTTAATACAGGTTCGACTGTAAGACACTCGCCTTCCTCGAGTTTACCAGTGGTATGCTGTCATTTCCTTACAATGAAAAACAATCTAATGACTGTTCTCACCAACTGCTTCGTGAAAAATGTGTGGATGGGTTGAAAAAATTCAGGGCGAACCTGTTGAGGTGGAATAGTAACTTTAGATATGCTCAAAACATCGATGTTTTATCGATAGAACACTTAAAATAATTTTATTATTAAATCATTTAATAGTAAAAAATAAAAAACCTTGTTAGAGCGAGGATGAATGAATGAAGTAACTGTGGATTTTTTTGATAACCGAGTTTCGATACGTCATTAAAATAACTTAAAGTAGCGTCTGAAAATAAATTTTTTTGGAAGCTTGAAAACAACTTTTTTAAATATCAAATGCAGCATGCCGTTTTATCCTATTAAATCTGAGTCACAATCATAGATAAAAAAATTTTTATACATATTCATGAATATCTTCCATATGTCTACTTTTGAATCAATCTGCAACTTAAATAAATAACCCAGTCAACTAGTTTCCGAAACCCGTGACCATGTTACCATGAAACTGTCACGCGGGCAAGGAAATGGACGAAAAAGTAACAATGCCCAACATGGAACGCTCGGAACAAAGTTCGATGACTTCATCCGAACATGTTTCTAAAAGGGATTATCTGGAGTTGAGAAACTAAACTAGAATGAGCTTAAGTCATCCTTGTTTGTATTTTTTTGGGGTTGGAAGTTTTGAAGGAGCGGATCGTGGTAACGACTCTCCATCACAGCCGTCGGTTAGTCTTGTCACGCAAGACACTATGGAAAAGAGAGCGCGTTGCGTGACGGCTGCAAAAACCAGGTCCTGATCCAGCTTTCAAACAACAGTCATTTCTTTTATAAATTGTTTTTTTACTGCTCTAGTCTTTCTTTTCATCGTTATCAGTGGCTTCCCCTATCATCTGCTTCACCTGCTTGCGTCCTCGCCGATGTATAAGCTCCATGTAGGCTCGTCCACCAATTATACTGAGTAAGAGTCCTACACCCATTGAAATGGCTATCCACGCAGCAAAGCTTAAATAGGGGTCTGGAAATAAGTAATTGGCACAAATGAAATTTACATGCCAAGCTTAAAGTTCACCAGGTGTGTTAGTAAAGAAGAAAGATCAAGACGGCCCTGCAAATAAATGATTATAGGGATTGTAAACGCCGCCCGAAATTTAGTTGATACGGCTGAACCAAGCTGTGCGTCACTTGGATAGAGGTCCTCCCACCCCGACCGAAAAAAAAAAAAAAAAAAGAAAAGAGAGAGAGGTTGTTTTGTAATACGTCGAAGAAAAGCCAGTTTGACCTAAGAAATTTCCATCAAATATTTTGACTCACGGGGGTAGGTGGTATAAAGAAATTTTACCCTCACCCTAACATCAGTATTCATATTCTCCATACTGTTCTCTGTACACGTACTAAGGTGTTGACAAGGAGAATTTGTCTAACAATCAAGAAATTCTTTAGTTGAAGATCATTCCCTTTCTTCTCGTGACATTAATGTGATTCAGAGGTAATATTGTAAAGAGAAATTAGATGCTGATTACTCTCAGGGATTTAAGGGTTAAAAGAGATATGTCCTCACCTCGGCTCTTTTCACAGACAAATGGCAGCGCGATCTCGCAGTTTAAGTCAAACCAAGTCACTTCACCATTCCTAATATGGATATTAACACAATCCTCGCCATCGCACCTCGTTGGTGCACCGCTGTCATAATGTTTGTCATTTGGTTCGTCTCTGTCCCAGTTGAAATATGAAGATCGGTTGTTGAATTCTCCTTGGCCTATGTCGTTCCATACATATATCCCTGCATATACAAAAATCAAGTACCAGTCTCTGCTCTAATCATTATGGTGAAGAGGAGATGAGCTTGCGCATTTTGTATCTAAATCTGGTACGTCTAACTGAAAGCCCTGGAGACCAATGTAGAACATGTCTAGACGGATTTCCTCTTATTTTTTTTCTAACAAATCTCTAAAGAAAAGTTTTTCAGGTATTTTAAGGAAGCAAGCGAAAACAGACGAGCCCGTTGATTCAAAATACTCCACTTTAGAAGGACTGCAGTAAGCCTCGATTTTGTGTTCTAGACCCAGTCCTCCTGACTTGTGTCCAAATATATCTTACAACAGTTTAATTGTCAAATTTTGCGAAAAACACTGAATTACGCACAGGTTACCAACTTATGCTGTTAGATTCCAAACTAAAACGCAAAAGAAAAAAAAACGTTTTCAAGCCTATGACAACAAAAGGACATATCACATAAGATCAATTCAATCTGGTACGAGAATTCGTCCGGCAGTTACTGAACAAATTTCAGATGCACTCTACTGTGCTTTATTAGACCTGTCCAAGCAAGAGCTAGTTTGTTCAAAAACACGAGCCTTTCCCCATTTAAAGAAACTACCTTCCCTATATTTCACGTTCGACCTGTGTCCCATCGTATGCTTACCAGCTTCCACTCGGTCGTTAAGTCCAATCCATATGTTTGTTTTTATCATATCTCCGATCAACCTGTTTTTTGAGCTACTGGTTATCTTTACGAGCCTAGCATTGTTGTCTCTGCACTTCTGTCGCGCCCGGTCCCACGTGACAGTCTCGCGCGCGTACCAGTAACACATACCATTACCTGGACATTCCCAGCCAGAGAGACCTGAGGGGAAAACACGAAGAGGAAGTTTGTTTGTGTCTGCCACATTCAGAGTGGAGTTGCACTGCTAGACTGGTTTCCTGGAAAATTTCTTGATGACTTCACTGAAGCACTTCTGGGGAAATATGACCCCATGAATATTGTTCTTAACACATTTTGACGTCATCTCGGCAGTATGGAATTTATTTTTTAAGTGTAAATGCATACATTTTTGTCGGGAGGAAAAATTTGGTGAGAACATCAGTGACACACGTGACTGCTTCTTGTTCGTTTTTACCACATTTTGACGTTATCTGTGATAAATTACATGCCAGTACTCACCTTTTATGGACTCCCTCTCACATACAAAATTCCTGTGGGCTATACAAACCGCGTCGTTCCACTTCTTATTGGTGGTTTTCATCTCTACACAACTCTCTACGTTGCACTGTCCGTTAAAGTTGTTCGGTTCAGTGTTGGAGGGATTGGTTTCGTCCCATGCAAAATATCTTGGCGTATCAAACTTGTTGTAGTTCCACAAGTACCGTGATTCTTTACTTCTGTCGTTCAATCCAATCCAAGCACCGTCGCCTGACTCAAGAAGCCCTCCTACAAATCTGCAGATAAACACGAGAAAAACATGACACAGTAAACATGACGCACTTGGTAGTTTATCACAGCAAGAGCTAATCTCGGTTTTTCAAAGCGAACAGTAGAGTTGCAACTCTCCTTGGATGTTACATCAGTTCTCAGTGCATTGGAAGTTCCTAAACCCAGACTGCAATTGGTTATTTCATGTTGTAAAGAGCCGAACTGCCGTGCGGTAGGTCGAGGGTTCAAGACTCATATCATGTAAGGTACATCATAATATCCTCAAATCTTGTAATAGTAGGAAAATAACGAGAGCAGTTAAGATAAAAGGAATATCAAAACCAGCTGGATAATTGTAGACAATATTACAGGTTATAAAGAACTACTAAAAGATAGGGTAATTTAGTTTATCAACTGAGTTAATAACGTAAATTGGCCACCTTTTCGAGCGTTAGCCCTTCATCAGAGTGAATGACGAAGGGCTAACGCTCGAAAAATCAGCTTTTAAACTCTTTACGGTGGCCAATTTACATTATCATCTCAGCTGATAATCCTAAATTACCATGTTATACTCTTCCACCGACGCAGCACCACAGTTTCTTTAGAAACTTTCCCCCTTTACTAAAAGATCGATTACAGACAAATGCTTACAGTCTAGGTTAAACAAACGTTTTCATTTTTTAAGCTTTCCTTCTCTTGCCGGCGCCGTTGCTTGTAAGCTATTTACTGGAATAATACAGAAAAAATAGAGATATGCTATCTTTTAATTATTCCTAATTTAACAATCTGCCAACGTAGCGTTTATTAATTAAAGGTAGTTTGTATATTAGTGTTTGATGACGTGCCATTTTAAATTACTACTTCCGTGTGTTGCAATGGAGACGTGCGGAATGAAGTTCCACGTTTTTGGCATAATTTTAGCTGTGATGTCAATGCTACATTATGGAATGCAAAAGCATATTGTTACAAACACTGAGTGCTACAAAGGTAATTACAAATAATCCATTTTTCCCTAAGTTTAACTGAGAGGGAGATTTTTTTCAGTTTCGCAAATTACAGCAACGTGGCAAGAAAGGAACTATTTGATAAAATTTTCCGTCCTCACCAAGAGAGTATCAAACTCTAAAAAGTGATAAGAATGCTGTAATAGCACGCGTTAAGCAATCGGAAAAGGATTTTGCAAAGTCATCGAAAGAAAATTACATTTCTGTTCGTGGCCAAAGAGGTTGTGTCTTAGTTTTCCTTTTCTCGTACACCAATCGTTTAAGACTTTTTTACGACTATCATAAATTTCATTTTAACTTTCCAATGAATCTGACGCAAGCTTGAGAATATTAGCATTCGAACTGGCCTTCGAATGCGCGAAGAACTGTTGTTTTCAAAGAACTCCTTCTAAAGCGCGCGCACAGTACGTCAGTTTCAGTAAAACAAAAAACGTCCTTTATTAGAGAGCTTACGCATCACGTTAACGGAAATAATAATAGGTAACAATCCAGTTTCCCGAAGTCTGTTTCTAATATATTGCTGTGAACGCTGTAAAGGCAAAAGGTGTTTTATGTTTAAAATTTAAAACCAAATGCTGCACATTCGATGGAAGAGACGAGAAGTATTTAACAGCATACAAATGCAGCAAGATAAAATCCGAATTCTGAGTGAGAGATTTTGGCGGTTTCTAAAGCAACCTTCTTACAGTATGTAAGTGAGTTTAATCATTCTCAATCGGCGCGTAAGTTTGCGACCAATCAAAAGTACAATTGTGGGAAAACAGAGTAGGAAAGATGGTAAATTAAGAGTTCGGTCTTGGACGAGCTCCCACGAAGAGTTTGACTATCAGATTTTGCGGTCCGATGTCCTACCACAGAGCCGCAGAGAACTCGCTATTGAGCTATAACGTAAAATAAGAGTTCGATTAAAACAAGCTTCCTTCATAATGCCAGGATCAGCAACGTCAAAACATTTGAACTAAATATCTGACAAATGAATAACATCAGGCTTTCTCTATTTTCTTAACTTGACGATCTGGCTCAAAAATTGCCACCGTTCTTCATTTTCTTTATGCAAATCCTTTGTTTCCTTTTCAGCACTCTACTGGATGATCATTACCATGGAGTTTTTCGCCGCAGTAGTGGCGGCAATCAAATTTTTCTGGTTTGATCGAGGTAAAAAGACCAGGTAATTACAGCAGTTTTACACTTTTAAATACATGTCAAATAACAGTAATGCCGTACAAGAGAGTACAACAAGACTTCACACGCAGAATGTAGCAACAAATTGCCTTTATCTGAATGTTTTCAGAGAATGTCTTCGTTCACAAACTTTAAAGTTAATAGCTGTTCGCAGGGTGACAGATAGTACAGCTCGACAGTTATGCTCACGTGTTTAATCTGCATTGTCTCCAGTCGCCCACAAATGATTCAGGAGAGTTCAATCAATCATCAAGGAAAATTGCATTAAGTATCGTTCCTTGAATTCTACTACACCATTGTTTCTTTCACTTACAGACGTTTAAGTTGTAATACACAAAAAGTTTACCTTACAACGTCCTACATAATTCGTTATCATTACTTTTCCAGACGGTCCAAAGCAGAGGAAGAACCAGTTATTCCACGGGGTGCTCAAGACTCACGAAAAGCGAGACAAAGAAACCTTAAATGCATGGCTCGCAATGCTCGATTGGCCAAAGAAACACTGTTATCTGGTGTACGTATTTGTGTGTTAGACTGGTTTCAAGGACTGAATTCTAACAGAGGCTTTGATGAACGTGTCGTATTGCTTTGTTTCATTCAGACTGCAGACTGTTTGGGCCCACGCGCCATTCTCCGCGTAACATCAAACAGACATTTGAGAACGTCCAATCAAGCGTCGCATTCTGTCGCGTACAGCGAAGAAAGCCGTTCTACTTCAGAGAAGGATGCATCTGTCCTTTTAACACCAAAGAGATATTACATGCCTCTCACTTTCCTTCAAGGCGTATTTAAAAGAGCCCGAGAATTTGGGAATATTACTGAAAAGAACTCAGAGAGAATATATAAACTCAGCATAGCTCGAGTATTGAGTATACACCGGGAGACATTCGCTTTCGTCGACGAGCGGGAATGCCGAGTCATATCTAGGCAAGATGTGACTTCGATCATGTTATTCAATGCAGAATTCGACTGTTTTGGATTTCTTAATATACCTCGATACATTAAAGACAGAGGTTCAAGAGCACTAGTCCTGCCACTTAAACAGGAAGAACGCACCTCTCCGATGCCTCCAAAGTGCGACGTCACTCGCTACTATTGTTGCGTAAGCTTGTCTTTAAACGATAGTGGTGTTAGACAACAGCACGTTGGGTGCAAAGTAAGCAAATACTCTTTTCTTAGAAATTTGTCCCTGTCAACTGACATGGGTGATGCAGGAAACTTTGTGAAACGCATACCCCAAGCCAGTCAGCAATCTAAGAAAACAGAAAGTCCTACGGAAAGGCTAGCTTGTGGTTTTGCCCTCTTTGATGGGGAACATCCAAGAATCTTTGCCAATTCAAAAATATCATCAATCTCACATGATACGATATCGGATGACGAAAAGTCACGCAGTCAAGCACCAATCGTTTCCTTACTTTCCACTGTTCCTGGGCAAATGTGCCAACAGGATTTGTCACGTTTTGAACAAAGGGAAGACACCAACAATTTCGTGGAGTTAGGAAATGAATATGAAGTTCTTCTCGGTGGAAACAGTAGTGGACTCTGCATAAACCAGAAAAACGTCAACAGTGGTATTGTAGGCCAAGTACTACATGATTCAAATGCTCACGTGAGTCACAAGCGTTTTAAACTGAAAGATTTTGAGAGAGGCTTTGATAATGTTGACAGTAAGTTCCAAATAAACTGCAACTCAAACGATAAAGACAAAGACCACGTTTCAGTGGACGACATCCACTCAGAAAATGTATCAATGTATGACAACGAGTCGAGTGACGTTTCCATGTATGAAAGCGAGTCTGATTATGGGTCGGATTACGAAAGTGAATCAGAACGTGAACGGGAGCAAGTCGGGAACAATGACCCTGAGCAAGTGCAACAATACGAGCAACATAATTTTCCCAACGGAAACGACGACATGGCAGAATACCCCGCCCTAATGGTTCCCTTAGTACATGCCATTCCTCAGCTAGTACAGGCGCACGCCTGGCCAAATGCGCCAGTCAATGCACAGGGAAACCAACCAGGACCTCAAAACGATGCTATTACCGGGCAACTCGTAGATGAGGCACTAAATGTCGAATACAACCCACAGGCACTCCAACTCAATCCTGTACCACAGGACGAAGCTGCAGAGCAAGGGGTTGGCCAGCAACTTCCTAATGCTCCAGGCCATAATCTGGCTCTATTTGGCCCCCATGATGACCTTGCAAACGAAGAACCACAGGATGAAGCTCCCATGGGAGCCAATCTTTTATATCATCCACTTCCTCCCGTAGAAGATGAGATAGAAGCAGCGAATGGAGATGGTGAGGTTCCAGGTGCTGTAGTAGGCAATGAGGTTGCCTTGCTGGCAAATAATGATGTAGGTATCGATGAAGCACCACCCTTCGGGGAGGTAGTACCAGCACCACAGGCGCCTCCACAACAGCCACAAGGGCAAAATCTTCCCAATGGTCAAAATCCTCAACAAGGCTATCATCCTCAGCATGGCAACCAGCCTCAACAGCAACCTAATACCTCTGGGCCGCTCAGAAGATTAGCTGCTGCAGTAAGGTATGTAAAGCGCAAACTAAGGAGGAGTCATAATGCACTTCCAATGTATGTCCTTGGGGCCCCAAGAGAAGAGCGACTGCCCGCTGGTTTAGAAGAGGCTCCTCCTCTTATTGGCGTGCCCCACCCTGAAATTGATGAAGAGACACAACCGACAAGCTTCTGTGCTTGTTTCGCCTTCCTTTTCCGACACCATGAGCATCCTGCACAAGGTTATCCATCACAGAATGAGCAAAGGGAAGAATTTGAGGAGCAGATAGCGTTGATTGGGCTGGATAATCAGGGCATGGAACAGGAGAATGACGAGCATGACATTGCGGCCGTCGAGCAGCTGATGGCAGTTCCTGACGAACAAATAGAGGCGATTGCGCCTCTAGTAGAAGTAATCTAGAATCTTCTTCTGGTTACCGTAAAAAAGCTGTATAACAATTAAGGAAAGCGAACAAAAGCAGATGGACTCAAAGGTACAAAAGAGAAACTTGTTCTCTGTAAATATGTTTTTTTTTTTTCATTTTCGTAGTATTTGTATGCGATGCGTGCAATGATAAATAAAATAATAAATAAAGATAAATTATGAGTACAAAACCATTTTTTCTTTCATGCAGAAATTTGGGAAAAGGGGAGGGGAGGGTTACCACCAACATCATTAATTTAACCCATTAACTCCCAAGATCTCATGAGTAATTCTCCTTACTGTCTGCCAAATGATTCTTAATATGTTAGTTTGGAGAATTTGGTATCAGATCAATTACGAATCCCATAATTGATATTTTTCTTTATTCTCATCACTTGTCTGCATGATATTGTACAGATATAGTAAGGAGAAATTCTGTCTTGATCACTCACGGGAGTTCAAGGGTAAATCAGAGCACTCTTGTTCCAAACCTAATGTCCAGTCCGTTTACTTCCTTATTTCCACCTTCCCGTTAACAAGACGAAGCTTCCTGAACCGGAAGATGGCAATATTTAACAGTAGGTTTGTATTGGACTGACCAAATCGCTATTTCAAACAATTTTCGAAGCAAATATTCACATGTTTTATCAATATGAAGTCGCAAAAGATGATACCAAAGGTAATCGTGAACTTAATCAAAACACTTCTTACTTATTTTCCACGCTATTGTCGATGGTAGCAAGTTTGGCTCCAAATTGTCCCTGGCAGTAAAAATATGCGTTCAGCCAAGTCTTCGGTTTAGAGAAATATCGGTAGCACTTGCCATTAGAATAATGCCAATCTTTCAGACACATGGCTGGAAAGAAACCAGAAAATTGTCTTAGATGAGGAAAAATGCGAAAACGGTGATATCTCAAAAAAAACAAACAAACAAAATGAACCCAAAAACAAGACATGACAGGATAACGAATGCTACATGAGTGAGCTGGAAAGGATGCTTAGCGTAATTATAATTTTCAATAAAGAAGGGAGGGAAAGGAAGAGAAGTGAGCAAAATCACACGGAATTGTATGTATGTATGTATGTATGTATGTATTGGCGATACCAGACCACAACATCGGAAACTTCGTTCACAACTCTTTGCGAATCAACCTTTCCCTTTTTCCCTTTCCCCTTCTCATTTCTCCGTGTCCATTCTCTTCACTCCCATTCTCCTCCTTATTCTATCCACTTCTTTAAACTGACTACCGAATTTTTCCTTCAAATACATATCACCTGACTCGGACGTGAGAGGGGCCTGGAACGGTAGAAAGGAAAAACAGGAACCGGAAGATATACTAAGGGGTGTCGGTGGCAATGATGCAGCCCCTTTAGAAATAATTAAATAAACTTTACAGCAACTTAGAAAAGAATGACAAATATCGGATGGAAAAGGTGAGGAAATCTAAATTCTTATTCCGCGTTTTTTTTTCGTGAGAATCAAGGGAGCAGAATTTGCACTTACGTTTACAAGATTTTTCACAGCCGTTGAGTTCAGTCTTTTTCTCATTTACATCGCAACCTGTAGTAATAAGAAATCGAAAAACGGCAATTAAAGTACTTCATGGGGAGGATAGACGGAATTATTTACAATGCATCTAAAATGCAACGCAAGTTTGAGAAAGAGCTCTCATGGCATTTTAGCGAAAAGAGAAGTTGACGCCTATTGGCGACCAAAGAGTTCGAGTAGATTTAAATGTTTCTTTACCTTTTACTACAATCCAGTGCCGAGTTATTTCTGATCCACCCTCAGTTTGTATCGTGGATGAATAAAGGGCCGTATCTGATTCCTCCAGTTGATTAATTTTAAGTGTTTTGCCCCCATCTGAGATAACAAAGCGGTCGCTACTTGGCAAGGGTTTTGACTCGCGCGTCCATGTAAGTGTACCGTTCACTCTGAAGTAGTGTTCACCTTTGAATGTGACACATTCTCCTCTCTTCCTTACTTCAAGCTTTTTTTCGATCAATATCACTTTCTCAGCTGCGAAGAGAGACACGAAGTTTTCGTTTAATGTGCATATTAAATTTCTGTAGTATTCATGGACTTAAGTGTCTAAAGCTTGTGGAACAGAACCACGGTCTCTCTTATCTCTACCGCCATATTTGACCCAAAGCAAACTTCTAGAACTTCATGACGTAAGATGTAAGCAAAGTAAGTAATTTTTCAATCCGGTCAACGATAGCTTGCAGAGGTAAGGTAGACAACTTTAGACGCTGAGAAGTCGTAGAAATATCACCGATGCTCTTACGAAACACCATGGATATCATTTAGTCAAATTGATATTTGTGATCTTAGATAATATCATCGTCGGTGGAGAAATTTATTTCACATACTTATAGCAATATAATTTCTAGAATGACAATTTGATGTTGGGTCACGATTTCTCCTTAAAGTAATTCAAACATCATATGATGTTCTAGTGATTGTGTAAATGCACAAGGAACCTTATCGAAGACAATCGTACGAGCTAATGGCATTAGTCTTTATTTCTGTAGACAATTAAAATTCTGTAGACAATTAAATATAGGCCGATAAAGTTCTTAATTTCGCCATAAGGCTTCGATACGAAAAATATCACGCTCTTACCTTGAATAATAGCCGCAACGTCTAACAGTGCCAGCAACAGGAAAAACTTCATCTCATAGGCCGGGCCGCCAAACTTCCAACTCACTACGACTGATATGATTTCGAGTTGAAAATGCCTCTCTTTTGAATAGAACACAACAACGTTGAGTTTAGCTGCTTCCGTTCCTTTGGCTCTTATGGCAAAAGTATTGTTCGAAAGTTGTTCATGTTGTTATTGACACCGTGAAAGTGCTCAAAAGCGAGAGTTTCGAAGCGCTTTTCACATTTCTTTTCATGATGGAGAGGCTAGCAACTTGGGAATGTCAAAGACAACTGCGTTATTTTTACGTCAGCAACATGAGAATATTTGCTCTTACAGCAATGGATTACTCCTTATCAATTAATAACTTAATCAATTACATATTAATTACGGCTGCTTTACATTGCTGTTCTTAGTCACGAAAAGAAGTATTGTCACGTTCGACCGTCAGAGTGCGTTTAATCAAATCATGTCGATCCCTTGAACTCACAACCCATTAAGAAGTGGTATTGGGAGACATTTTCTTGTTCAATAATTTTACTAATGTTAGTTAATCGACCCAAATACCATTTTTGGCTGTGAAATAAATATTAATTATCTGGCTCTGTGTTCTGTCTTTCTCCGCTCAGATTCCGGGCCAGCGAGGCAAATCCCGAAAAAATACTTTCCTGGAAACAATGTCCCATTTCAAACATGAAAATTAAAAATAAAGTAAATTAAAGAAACGAGAAAAAAAAGTGATTCGCTAAGCATCGTTCGTAAAATCCGACAACATATCACTTCGCGTGGTGACGAAGACGAACCGAAGAATTGCCGACAGGCAGTGGACGAATGAAGCGAGGTTACAAAGCTTATGCCGAGTATTCAATGTTTTCAGCTGGTTGTTTGCTTCAGTTTCAACAACAATACGTGAAATTATTCTGGAGATTTACGGAAGACGGGAAATACATAGAGTGGGATGAATACCATTTAAGGTATGTTCTCAGGACAAAATATTTTGTTTATGACACATTCCGCGATCTAATTGATCGGTTATGGTCGATCGCATTGTTAGCCGACATACTTTGGGGATTGCAAAATACTATTTCTTGTTTCCTAGTACGTTTTCCTCGCCGTTGGCGCGAAGGACCTTCGATATATTTATTTCAAGTTGAATTTGTAACTATGTTACAATCAAGGAGTCTTGAAAGTGTCATTGATTTTCGTAAAAGCGCTCTAGAAGCTCTGAGAGATGTTCAGTTCTTTTCAGAGATGTTCAATTCATTTCAGATATCAAAAATTTCGTTTTCTCGCCCAAAATCGTTCTTAGTGAATTTCATTTAATAATCTATAATGAACATTTATTCAACGTTTACTCCACATATTTATAGAAATTGCGATTCATGATTCAAAAATAGCTTATTCTTGTGGTGAAATACAACCCGAACTATGGCTCTAATCGATCAATAACAAAACAATTATTAACGCAATTATACACCAGTATTCAGCGGAAGAGACGTTTTGTTGTTTGAGAACAGGGATATCAAATTAAGTTTGCAGTCAATGAAGAACGTTTGGGCCTAATTTTGCACAAGATCACCTTTATGTACTTGGGAGTGTGAGGTCCTACAACCTCGTGATACGGAAGTACAGCTCTTGCAATTTATAGTTTGTTTTTGGGAAGGAGCTTTCGTCTTTTGACAGAGTCTTGTGAAAGTTTGTGAAGGGGATTTACATATTTACTGTATTCATTACTCATCTTTTCTTTTACAGACTTGTACATTGGTCAGCTGATACCTTACATCATGAAATACTATAGACATATCTAGTTGTGAAAGGAGAGACTTCCTGATAATTTGAAGTATGGAAGGAGTGATAGAGTATTTTGACTTGCCCTTAAGACACCATAATATCTGTTTACGGTGGATCTGATCAAGGATGAAACAAAAATTGATGCAAAAACCTTGATTTATTGATTGCAATGGGGGGAAGCACTTCCACTTTAGAGCAGAGTTCATCTGAACCAACCCTTGTGCGTGTGCCTCGATATACCTTGGAGGAGAAGAGGAAAAAACAATCAAAATTCAACACCCTTAAGAAAAAGCTCTCAAGGAGTAAAAGTGGTTTCAAGAGCCATGATCATGGAAAAATGCTACGAGAGTTGACACAAACATGGACAGTTCAGGAGATCAATGCTTTAGTTGAAGAATATGAAGCAATGATGAATGTAAAAGAACTAAAGAATCAGACCAATCTTGTAAGGCAATCTGCGCCAAGTTTGAAGAAAGACCTTTTACGGCTTCTGGAAGAAGGGATTTGTGCTGACACAACACTTATATTTGAGAACACTCAATTCCATGTCCACAAGGCTATTCTTACGTGTAGATGTCCTTATTTCAAGGATCTTTTATCGCAGCATACAGAGCAGCATCCTGTTATTCAAATGGAGTTTAAAACGGAAGGAATGACTACAGAAATTTTTTCGGCTCTGCTATGTTACTTGTACACAGGAGATTTTATGACAAAAAAATCAGGCTTAGAATACATTGATGTTCTAATGAATTTGGGTGAAGAGTTTGGCACACCCAATGTTTTGGAACAGGATTTAAACTTGCTTTTCAAATGTGGTGAATATGCTGATGTCGCCTTTGTTTTTCCTGCTCAAGACTCTTCAGACACATACGTGGCTGCAGATGGCAATGCAATTTCTGATCAGACATATGAGATTTTGTGCCATAAAGCTGTTCTCTGTGCAAGATCACACTACTTTAGATCACTTTTACTCAAATCTGACTTGGGCTCTAATGATTGTCTAAAGACAGGTTCTGGAGTGAAAAGACTTGTTTTAGATGAATCAGTGATAACTAGGCAGTACACTCGCATAGCTTTACAATGCATGTATACGGACTCTGTGGATCTGTCGTCTGTAGTTAAGTGGAGCTCTGAGGACAGGAAATATTGTTCACCCAGAACTCATAAACTTTTGACATCAGCAGAAATTGCCATGGAAGTATTTGAAGTGGCAAGCTTTATCGACTTACCAGTACTGATCCAAGGTAAATAAATTTATTTATTCATTATAAAGCCAAGATCACACAGATGACTTAACAGCACAACAGGATATTGTTATGTCTGTTTTGTTGTGTTACTTAAATAGGATTTCACTGCTAACATGATGATGTGATGATCTTCCTTATTTTTACTTGGTTATGCCCTTATGTCACTTGTATGACCTATGCTTATGTTGTATTGTGTTACTATTACATAAATATATATTGGGTGTTTAAAATTACATAAGGTTAAAATGGTGTCAGTTTTGTTTAATTTTAGTTTCCTTTGTTCTTTAAAAGACCTCACTAATGTACCTGGAATGAAGGATATAGCAAATCAATCTAGTTTGAAATCATTTGACCTGAGAAAAATTGCTTTAAATACAAGATGTACAAGTTCACACCATGAACCTGACAATATTGTGATGTTCTTATGTTGATATGCTGAAAAAAAATTTGTATTTCACTTGCCTTCAGCTTGTTAGTTACAATCTTTTTTGTGTTCTTCTTGCAACTCATGGGGCTTATAACACACATATGAAGACCAACCTAAGGATGAGAACCATAAATCATTCTTTTTTTACTAGCTTATCAGTTTATTCAAAATACCTCTCTTGGTTTTTTTGCAATGTCTGTTTTATCAGGCTGCGAAGACATCATCTTGGAGGAATTATCTCCGTCCACTCTTCTGCCAACGCTGGAATGGAGTTCCCTCCCTCATGGATCTGACTGGGTCTACAGGCAAGCCATGCACTTCCTACAGGAAGAATTTGTCAACATCGCTCAGTCTGACATGTTTACTCTGATGCCAAGGAAGTATTTGATAGAGGCACTGAAATCTGATTTCTTGCAGGTGTGTGTATGTAATCTTTTGCCAGTGAATTCTGGTCTTAGCCCTTTTACACCTCAGCAACTGTGTAATACAAACACTTCAGACTGCTCTCCTCATATTTTCTTTGGTACCGACTAGGAGAACGTTTTTGACAATCCACAGCTTCTTTAGGTGCTACTGTTTTTTCATTCTCACCACCTTTAAGTTCAATTTAGCAGTGAAACTGTGAGGAGAAATTGAACATTTCCTACTGTTAGGAGTTAAAGGGTTTATAATATGCAAAAAAAAATTGCGTGCATCTGACTGACTGAAAATATGCATTTTCATGTAACATGAGTGCAAAGCTGTAACACATACTGTGAAAAGTCAGGCTAGGTTAGTTTCTCCTGAACCTTTTTTTGGGCTACAGGGAGCTGTTGAATTTTAATTTTAAAAATCTGTTAATAGTATTTTATTGTAATAAATTATTTATATAACTTGTTCATAGGTCACATTACTTACCATAGTCAATGTAATAAGTGTCCTCTTTCATTCTTTCTTAGTTGTTACACAGTATTGATCAATTTTTCCTCCTTTAGGCATGTGAACACAATGTTCTACTGTCTGTCATTAAATGGGGTGAGGCACAGGTCATTCGTCAAATGAATGAACAAGGTACTGACATGAATATTATTTCTGAAATTAAAACTGTCATTGAATTATGTTCTCCTTTTCTCAAATCAATAATCAATCCATGAATCAAGGTCTATCATTCAACTGTAATGTAATGGATGGAGGTTAGTGATAACATGTCCTTACTAAGGCCCATCGTGGAGCAGTCCATATGAATTTTTAAGGTGCTTTTTTCTTCATTGTTGTTATTTTTGTGGAGAATAAGAGAAGAGGTAAAAACTAGTGAAAAATCTCTACTGGAAGGTAAAGAGGTAGCAACTCAACACTGGTTGCATTATGAACACAAAGTAAATAAGTAAGTAACAAAGGAAATAACTATATTTCAACTTGGGTTGATGTGGCCAATTAGGCCCCAAGCAGTACATGCTAATACGCTGAGAAAAGTATAAGAAAATAAGGGGAAAAATAGATCAGGATATCAAAAATGATCAGTTAACTTCTTTAACCCTTAAACTCCCAGATAAAATTTGTAATTCTCCTTACTGTCAACCATACAATTCTTATAATGTTAGTTCAGTGAATTTAGTATTGGATCAACTACTCATCCCCAAATTGATATTTTTCTTTATTCTCACGACTTACTTGGTCGATATTTTATTGATATGGTAAAGAGAAATTCTTTCTTGGTCACTCATGGGAGTTATTGGCTTAATTAAGTAAACAATCCTAACTCTTAAAATTATTACGGTGGAAAAATCTTAGAAGACTGTACAATACAAATGTACATTACAAACACTCTCAATATAATTGCTATTGTACTGTTGATTGTACTTTGCACTGGTATTCAGATGATTCTCTTTAATTTTCTTTCTCAGAATATCAAAAAATAATATGGTGACCGTTTTAAAAAGAAATGTATTAGTACCGATAATTAACACCTCGCGTTGGGGTATAATTGGAAGTAATAACTATCTCATTATTCACTTAAGCATATACATAATTATATTTAAGGAAATGGAAGTTATAAAATCTGTCAAGAGATCTCATCGCCTGCAGAAAACTAGCAGTATGCAGTCGAAACGTCATGATTTGCATCCGAAGTGACCACATCGTGAGACAAACAGTTATACTTCTCTTCTGGAAGTGATAGTTACCTCGATGACAAACCGCAACCTATTTTATGTCTGAAATCTTTTACATTAGTTTCAGAAGTATTCTTTTCTGTTCTTTAAGATCCAGTCCAGGACAACAAAAAGAATGCTAAGCGACGTGACATCGATAACAAACAGTTGAAGAGGGTTCTAGCAGGCGTTATCGAACATGTGCGAATTGGTCACGTGCTTCCCCCGCACAGCGAGCTCCTGGACGGGGTGTTCCGCAGGGGTCTTGTTGACCGGGGCATGCCCCTGGATATAGGTGAAGGAAATTTTTATCCCAATCTGCCTTGGATGAGAAGAAGAGAAGAGAAGGACTTTGTCAGACCGAGGCTCTTCTTGCCTTACTTTGAAGAAGCAAAGGTAAAAATTCTCTGAAGATAATTTGTTGTAATCAGGTACGTTGGTAAAGTGGATTGGCCACTCAAAGAGTTTCTAAAGCTGACGTATCGATCGAGCGTTCGCCCTTCGTCAGAGGGAAGCGCTCTTATTTTATACAATACCAAAATTTCGTTTGAAACTTATCCCCTTCATTCATTTGCAATATATCTTACTTTTAGTACATCCTCTGTTGGTCTGAGGTGATCAGAAATCGAAAAATAAGAATGTTGGCTTTTTAATTGACATCTTGTTTTGGCAAAAGTGTTAAAAATTTGAATTTGGGGTGGCATTGACTTGGAAAAGATTATCTCTAGTCAGAGCTGTCAGTAAAAGCTGCTAGCTGGCAAACTAGTCTTCCATCCTGAGCCAGTTACTGAGATTACTTTCACCTCATTTTACCATTAGTGCTTGTGGAAAATAGTACATTTATTCAAATACCACAGATACCAGCAACCATTTCCCAGTTATGACTTGAACTGAATGCATTATTTACTGGTGACAGGTATAGATGAAGGAATAGATTCTTCGTTCAGACTTTACTTGGAATTGGGTCAGGCGAACTTTTTGAAACGCTAAGGACATTAAATGAAAAGCCCCCATTCTTGCGTATAATCTAACGAAACAACATGGTGTCCAAGATAACTAAGCCGCCTTTTTTTCTTATTTGCCATCTGCTTTCAAACTTATTAACAATCCTGACTAGTCAGCTTAAAAGATCGTCCAGGCCGATGCTGCACTTTTGGAAATTTTCAGCTAAGGTGGTTGTCGCATAAAGACCTCATTGCGCTCGAATTAAATTTTGCCCTCCTTCCGTTTTGTACGCCGGCTAGAAATTTCAGCTAAGGTGGTTGTTGCTCAAGATCCCATAGCGCTCGAATTAATTAACTTTCCCTTCCTTCCGTTTTGTACGCCGGCTAGAAATTTCAGCCAAGGTGGTTGTTGCCCAAAGATCCCATTGCACTCGAGTTAATTAACTTTCCCCTCCCTCCGTTTTGTAAGCCAGCTAGAATTTTTCAGCCAAGGTGGTTGTGGCACAAAGATCTCATTGCGTTTTGTAAGCCGGCTAAACATTCTAAGACATTCTCACTGTTGCAGGCCATCCTTGAGGAACACAAAGAAGCGGAAAAAGAACTGATCAGAAATCGTATGTCACGTGTACCACACAACATGCCTGACACATTGTATATGGTGGAATCGCACAAACGAACCTACACTGCGCCAGCGATCTTCTTCGCCTCTTCGGCAGCGGGTAGATTGGAACGAGACGAACGACGTCCATCAGTGGGTTTGGGCTCTAATAGGGATGGAAATGAGTTGGAGAGATACATGAGATGTGGAGGAATGAACGAAGGGTCTCCCGGTATGTTGGCTATTTCTGTCATCCTTTGCACCAATCAAATTTCATTCAAAGCTTGGTTTAAGCTCTTACCCACTTACTCGTCCTATTTTTCGGTATTCTGACCTCTAAGCTGAAATCGTGATGACAACAAAGGTTTTGTCTTCGGCTGATAGGTCAAGTCCAGAAGTCCATAACTGAAATTTTTGCACTTCTCTCGAACAACCGAGCCAAATATTTCTTGAGAATTTTTGGAAATATTTCGTAGTTTTTACATCCCAGAACTATATTCCAGGAGAAAGGGGAAGCTTTTTTTTTTTGTCTACGTAATTGTGTATCCTTATGTTTATCTCACTTGGTATCGTTTTTCTTTTCCATTTTAGATGAAAGAGAACCTGCCGTTAGTAGCACGCCAGTTACAGGGAGAGAGTTTGCTCTCCCGGATGTAGCCATGGAGGCGCCTTCATTTATTCCGGATGATTACCTGCACAGAGGAGCGGGCTCTTCTGCTGAGGTGAACAAACAAATCACATCAGGACGTGACAATAATGAGCTTGGATTGACTGGTTATCCATAAAGTATTCTTTCGTTTTCAAACACATCTTGTCATTCTCTTCACAGATATACCCAGTACCAGATGTTGCCCTACCTTCATCTCCTACGTCCAGTGTGTCTTCGTCCTCTGGTGGAGTTCCCCCGGAATATTTCCATATGGACCATTTGTTGGAATCTTTAGATGATGACGGAACAAGTGAAAGTAGCTGACACTATGTGGTTAAAACTCAAATTGCCGTCATTTTTAACCAGCAACCAAATTAATATTGTCTCTTACTTTTCAACAAGTATTCCCAATCCTTGTCAAGATAAATTTAACCAAAGGTGTTATCTTGTGACACTCGAGTGAATCCTGCTGGACTCCGATTGTTCGTCGAGCTCGGTTCTTAAACTTTGAAAGCCCTTGAAAACAGAATAATATCCTTTATTCAACAATATTGAACAAAGATTGCGGATATTGTATGCAGCGACAATCGGGAAAAAAAAACCGTGATTCCATACATCTACTGATTGACGAGATTTGACTCGATTGTCTTGCCCAACAACTGACGCAAATTTAGGGGAAGTGATAACCTTTTGGTTTTAAAATTAATAATTTCATTTCCAGGTCTAAAAATTTGCATGCCATAGGCACTGACTGGAATGGATTTTTGTAAGAAGAACAAACCAGAAATATTTCGATGTAAGATTAAAAAAGTGAGTCTTTAGAGAGGCCGCGGAAGTCGTAGAATCCTGAGAGATATGTGATTCATATGTACCTTCTTATCAAAAAAATGTACCTTCTTATCAAACAAACAGGTAACAAGCAAACTTATCTGGTAGAAGTTGTTATCCTGATCTGACACCAAATCCTCGTAACTTATTTACTAGAAAATGTGTACCAGCTAGTGAGGAGAATTAACCATCAGATCTTGGGTATCAAAATGGTAAGGCTCTGCAGTCCCACAGAAACTTTGATTTCCGTTTAATAAGTCAGGCAGTAGTTAGCTTGCCCGTGAAACCAGGCCACTTTGAGAGGTCTCATTCGCGAGCTGGCAGGACAAGACATCAATGTGTCTGAGAATGTACTTGATCTTTTTAACTTAAAAACAAAGTTATTATCATGTCAATATTTCAGTTTCGTATGAAAACTTTGTATCAATGTTAGTATCTGAGCAACTGTCCACCTACCCCTCCCCTAACCCAGCATCGACCCTAAATTGTTAGCAAGTGACTGTCGTTGGGTTAGGGGAGGGGTAGGTGCGAAGTTGCTCAGATACTGACATTGATTCAAAGTTTGACAATGTGGTAAAGAGAGTAAACACAGGTTGAATTGGTAAATTGAACGTGGTCGGGGCTTCTTCGCTTAGCTATTTACACTTCACTTATTTTTATAGTTTTGTATTGTTATTTTTCATATTTGTCGTTGATTACTTTCTGAAGACATTTTAATATTGCTACTAAATCCTACAATATCTTAAAAATTTAGAGGGTATGCATGGATTTAAAAAAAATTGAACGTCATGAAAATCAATAAAAATATGCATATCGAAGAATTTTTTTCTTTTGCTTTTTAGCATTTTAGCGTTGTTTTCTCACGGAATATCTTGTTAGTGTTCCTAATGCATTGTTTTGGTACAGAAGACGAACCCAGTAGATTTCAGTCATTTCAGTTGCCTTCTAGATATTCGTATGCTTCTCAATATCTCGTAATATGTCGGTTGAAACCATAACTGTCCATCGTGGTTACTGACACTTAGAAATGTTTTCTTTGAGTTTGACGCTAACACGTTTGGGAATTGCAGGGGTCTCGACAATGGTGACTTTTTCCATAATGAGCGCTGCTGTTGGTGAGGGAGCGGCTGTGCCGTAAGTCGAAATTCAAACACGAGAGTTTGTTCACACGCAGGATTGTACTCTGAAAGATCAATCCAGTAAATCTGATCGAGATTTGTAAATGAATGCACAGGCTCTCACCAACTTTCAAGAACAAAATTATATCGCGTTCCGAGTAAAAGTAAAGAGGAAAGAAAATAGAAAAAGGGATTGAGACTGAATTCCTAATGCAATTAGAATAGTTTTGACTATTTTACTTCAACCGAAAGCAGTATTTTTGATAATATGGAGTCGTTATAATTTACTCTTGGACGTAATCATTATTGTTTCACTCGGCTATTTTTTCCTGAGCATAGTTTGCATTTTCGCCGTCGTTTATGCTTACAGTTTATCGATCCAGAAGAGTTGGCGGTTTCCCCATATTGATGTCGACCACAAATTTGATTTCTTCAGGGGCGCAACAACCCCAGCATGACGCCATGTTTGTAGAGTTCAGAGGGCATTGCGCGTTTTTATCGATTTGATATTTTAACTACAGCTACACACCAAGTTAGGGAATTAAGACGTTGAATTCAGTTTAAGCAATGGAGACCAAACCAATAAAGTAATTAGCCGTAGAAGTAAACGCGTTAGTAGTCAGTTCAAATGTCATCAGCATATATAGCTTTGTCTTTTTTGCCTGCCGCACACAATTGGCGTCCCTTTTTTTTAGAGAAAAATACTACCTAAAAAGGCCGGTAAGGCGGCGGAAAAAAGATTTCATAAAACTCAACATAGAAAAGAGAATGAAAAAGACTGACATGGACCGCAAAAGACAAACATGAGCATTTTACATCACTGATTTATTTCAGTCACGGACGCAAACAATCGTGGAGAGTAACCCCTTCGCACGAACGCTATTTTTTTAGACTTTTAATACAAAAAATGGCATGGAAAGAAAAAAAATATACATCTTCGTTCTCTTTTGTTGTAATTCTTATCCTGCGTTTCCAACAAAGTTTTGTATGAGGGTTGTAGATTAATTGACTGGCTTCGGAATGGAAAATTGTTTTTTTTTTTAATTACCATTAGTTTTTTCTTGAACTAAAAATGGAAAACCTAAAGCAAAACGTATTGGGAAATTAGACGTAACAAGGTATGAAGAAAGGAAAAGACGTGATTCGTAGGAGGAAGTTATTCGTGAAAGGATGTGATTCGTGATCGTGAAGGTTACGTTATGCGAAAAATACAAGACAAACGTGAGATGAATTACACAATTTAGGACACGGTTGATCAAGATTGTCACGTCTCAGTAATAACCGTAATCAAACGACACAGAGGCAATATTCGAGTTTTCTTAAATTACCAACTCTACAGGAGTAACAATATTACAATAGGAAAGTTTCAACAACATCTTAGTTCCACAAGTTTTTACAACCTGGCATAACTCAAATGAAACTTGCTAACAAATATTTCCCTTAGTTTGCGCGAGAGTAAATTCTAACTTTAAAGTTACGTTTACATAGTAACGAATGTTAATGGTAAACATCCAACTACAAACTTTATATTTCCAATATCCAAATATTGTGTTTGGAATGAACTAGAACCAAAATTTGATTATTCGATATGGCACATCTTTGGAGAACTACTTAGCAATATTTTTCAACTTTAAGTGACCTCTGATTTAGTTTCCGTGCCATACATAGGGAGGTTCTTATTTAGTAATTACCGCGCTGAGTGCACCGTGAGTGAGAATGATCTTCTCACGATCGTGTATCGACAAAGGATTATAAATAAAAAGTATCTTTTGTACATAGGAAGAAATTTAAATAATGGAGACCTCAATCTACCTTGGGAAAAATAGTCACAATAATATTCACGGCCATAAAACAATAAGGAATAATTTAAAGATAATGGCTAATGCCAAACAGTCATTTCCGTTGTCCATTACGAAGATTCTAACCGAATCATAATCATGCGATGCTATCGGAAAAAGTCAGTTGATTTTTATCTGTTCCGGGAAATGATTTTTAACTCAATTATAATAAAACTTTACATTACGAAACATAGTGATTTAGGTTAAATTTGCAGTTAAATTTTCGATGATTCCACGACAGCTTTCGCGAAAACACAGCAGACGTTTTCCTTTAAGATCACGGCAGATAATTCGCTAATGATAGAGTTGTTTAACAACGGATTTCCATTATTGACGATGGCAGTAAGACAAGTTTTAAGTACTGAAAGCGTAAAACTGATATATGTTTGAACAAATATTAAAATTAAGAAATTCGGACCACGCGATTATTTTTTTCCTAACGCAGCGAGAACCGCTTTGTTTTCACGCAGAAAGGAAACACTTTCAAACATAGCAGCTGGACAAATAATGACATTTATCAAAATCAGCGAGATAAGCCTTTCGTAATCTGCTTTTTCTATTCTCCGAACCCTCGCTGGACATCAAAAGAAAAGCAAAGATCTTATCTCTAACGATCTTAGGCCAAAAAAGTCTTGAAATATTTGTTTCCATGCCCTTGCAATCTACAGACGGTAAATATCGAGAAAAAACATCGAGCAACTTGAACCTGCTATACTATAAACCATTCTATCCTGCTTCACAGCTATAACGGATATTGGGAATAAATCGCATTCATCTTCTTGTTACGCTAATTTGTCCTCGATTAGTTCATATTCATCGCTCGTTTCTAATCGACGAAGGAGGTCTTCATTTCCAAAGAATAATCTTTACAGCAGTCCTTGGCCAAAACAAGTTAATGAAATGCAGCAGGCATACTGAAAATTCTTTGCTCTGGGAGACCTCGCTTGGTTTTCTTATAATCATAGCCTTCGCTCTTTGTTCTTGCTCTTTTTTCCGCAATAAGGGAAGCAGGATCCTCCGTCAGGATGTTATATCCGTCTTTTGATTTCTCAACCTTCCGATTCCCTGAGGCATCAGAGTCACCGTTGGTCATGATGGGTGAATATCCCTCATTTGCAAATCTAACAAGGTTATCGCCGTTCTTTGCTCGGTTTTTTTTCGGTGAAGATTGCGAAAAGTCAGTGAAGACTTCGTCAGGATCCATGGTCTTTTTATAGCGTACTAACTCAATGACTTCTGTCGAGCCACTGCCTTTATAACAGTCAACATCAGTGAGTGATCTAAAACGCCGCCCAATAATATTATTTACTGACAAGGAGCTACTTTGCGTTGACTCTTTCGTCGACTCCTCTTCCTTCTTGGATGAATTTTTCGGTTTTTTATTTTCATCTCCCTTAGTACCATGAAAACCGCCCCGTCTGGTAAACACGTTCTGCGCCTCTCGTATTCGCCTGGCCCCGTTCGCCGCCACGTTTTCTCCGTGCGGGCTTTTCTTTCCGCGTTGCGCAGCGTTCACGCTCCACGTGAACATGTCTTTGCAGCCGGCTCGAAACTTCCCGTTAAAAAGCGCGTAAATAAAAGGATTGCAGATGCTGTTACACAATCCCAACGAATACGTAATAAGTCGCACATAATCCACATGACTCGTGGTACTTTTCACGGTCCATTCAATCGCACTAATATAAATCAACAACGGCAGCCAGGTGACAAGAAAAACTAGAATAACCGTTAGGAACATTTTCAGTACCTTCTTACGGCTGCGGATGAAAGCCTCCACCGGACGCGAGTCTCCTAGCTGGCCACTCTTCCTTCTCCAAACTGTCCGGTAGATTTTTCCGTATAGGACGATTAAGGTAGCCAAAGGGAACAAATACCCAAACAACCCGAGGAACATCACGTAAATGAGACCAGGTAAAGTAGTAGCAGGAATGGTTGCACAATAGGTGAAGGTCTCGTTTGTGTTGGGATCCAGAGGAGCGTCCTTTAACACAGTCAAATACAAGCTTGGCGACACGACGAGAAGCGCGTAGACCCAAGCGCCGAGAATCAGCTTATTCGCTGTGCCATATGACATGATATTTAATGGATGCACAACAGCTTGGTGGCGATTCCATCCGATTGTGATGAGCAAAGTCATGGACGCTTCAGGCGACAGGTACTGGAAAAACCTGGCGACCTTACAAATGGGCAAACTGTAGCTTTTCATTCCGATGCCTTCTTTAAAGTTGACCACCAAAAACAACGGGATAGCGACAGTGCTCACAATCAAATCGCTGATTGCTAGATGAAGTATGAAGCGGTTCATCACAGAACGCATCTTTTTCGCTCGTAAAATAACTGCGACTACAAGTCCATTACCCAAAAGTCCCACCACAGCAGCGACACCGAGACACGTTAAGATTGCGATCTTGAATCCTTCATCGTGCTTTTGGATACCGGCATGTTCGTGACTTATGTTTGTCTCACTTCTCAAATCAGCCATCTCTAGGGAACCTTGTCCTTCTTGATACTACGATGGCGCCAGCGTTTTTGGTTTGTTTTGTCTCCCAGGGGTGCACGTGTAGTTATTTAGGGTCTACCTTGCGCGTGATGTGACCGGAGCGAAATGTTTGACCAACCTATGGACTTTGGATGAGTTCACGTAGAGCTTAAAACGTTACCAGATGTAACCTGTACTAATCTTCACAACATAAACACGTCGTAAATCGATCTCAAGTTACAGTCTGCTAATTTAGAACTGTTCCATTTCGTCTACTTTTACGTGACTCGAGAGATAGTCGGCGATTAGAAAAGTAAATCGATTGGTTGACCCACTAAGGTCTTTGTTGACCCACGTTTTCCACGATAATCTGGGAAAACGATAATGACCTCAGCGCTTCTTGCGGCATTTACATTCAAATATCAAATATGTTACGACTTCAAATATGCCAGATTCGATTCACTTCACTGCATAAACCGCACAAAAGATTCAATGAGGTGTTACATGAACAGCGTAGGAGCACGCTTTCAAAGTTTCCTAAAGCTCAACTTTCTAGGTGCTAATATCGAACAAAAAGTGCAATTTTTTCAGCGATGTTGTCTTTTTGTTAAGACGGAGTTTGTTGCACTGACCAAAATAGCTTGCAATTTATTGTTTTACGGCTCGCCTTTAATCGCTCTCTCCCTGATTGGGTAATGTTCCTTTAATGACGTTTTATTGTAAATTTTAAAAAAATTTGCAACTCAAATAATCGACAAAAGACAGAGTTTGGTTTTAGTTATTGTTCATTTATTTTCACAAGATACTTCTTCAAGGGTTTTGACCGAAAAATGATAAAGTTATCCGCATTTACCAGTAGACAGGAGAAGGTAAGATCAAGTAGGGTTCTTTTAAGTATGTAAAATGCTTGGAAAAAACCCAAAAGCGAAATTAATTACCAAAAATATATAATCGCCAAATCAGCAGGTGTTGTACGTAGAACCATTAATTACGCAAACACTATAACGGTTGTCAAAAAGCTTAACTTGATTCGTTTAGCAATACTGACAAAAAAATATTTTTACGAACGTGGCGTTTTTCCTTTTTTTGAGTCCCGCGATCTTTTCAAACATGCAAGACCCCTTCGTCACGAAACAAAGCTTTTCGAGAAAAAAATAAACCTCAAACAAAATCTTTCAAGAGTTGTTTGCAATAAAACGACTAATTTCGCGAAAGGCGTTAAGTTTCCAGTGTTAATATCGAGTTTGGCTCTCACCAACCGACAAAACAATTGAATGATGATTGGGGGAGTTCTCGATGTGCTATCATATTGTGATTCCACACAAACAGGATCCTATAAATGAGCTCCTGACAGAACTTATTGTTAGCTATATTCCTTGATTGCTCTTCTACGAAGAGTTAAACAATTGAATAATGATTGGGGGAGTTGTCGAGGAGGTATCATATCGTGATTCCACACAAACAGGAGCCCATAAATGAGCTCCTGACAGAACTTATTGTTCACCGCGTGATGTTCCTTGATTGTTCTCAGATGGATAAATTAAATTGTGGACGGATGTTGTGTAAAGGAAGGGTTTTAACATGATGCGTCACGATTATGGACCATAATGACTCATCAGTGAAACGTTAAGTTTCTAGTGCCACATAACATTTTTCTCCGCTTCTCAAGGAGCAACGAGTTATGTTAACCATCAGAACCAGGATCCCCGTTTAGGTCTTTAGATTGAGATGGATATTCCATTGAAAAGGGTGACAAAATCAAAAAAAAAAAACTAAACTGAGTAAATAACTAAAATTGTACAGAAACAGTTTCTTTAAGAAGTATTTTTGTAATAAAAATTTATCTTAAACGATGGCATTACAAAACAATTGCAGTTCCCGATTCTGACCGTGTTTTACATTGAACCTCGGCAGGCGCGTTTGCAAGTTGGCTTGTATTCTCTTTAAAATCTCCCGAGACTGAATTATCGTGAGTATAGCGCTATTAAGCACAAATATAACAAAATAAACATGGTAATTTGTCGTTAACAACTGAGTTGATTACTCAAATTAGCTACTGTAAAGAGTTTCTAAAGCTGACGTTTCGTGTTAGCCTAGCCCTTCGCTATTACGAAGGCGTCAGTAACGCTCGAAACGTCAAATTTAGAAACTCTTTACAGTGGCCAATTTACACTATCAGCTCAGTGGAGAGAAGTTAGCCAAATTATCTTGTAATATACTCTACCAAAGCAGCACCACAGTTTCTCTAGAAACTTACCCCCTTTATTAAAATAATACAGAAGTGTATATGAGTGTGGTTTACTTCGTTTTGAAACCTATTATAACAAAATCGGCGACTGCGATGGCAGGCCTGATTTCCAAAATTATTTCGGAATTATAAAAAACTAAACTGTTATATGATGTGGGAAAAGGAATAATTTCCAAGAAACATTTAATTTCTGAGAGCAGGCTCTGTTGTGACACGACAAACATGCAACACCAAGAATTATCAGCATAAATTAAACGAAAACGAGAAGAGAAGATTATTAAAGAGTAAAACCAAAGATGATAGCTTTAGAAAACAAGGTTTCTTTTTACTCGGATTCTCAGCTTTTGATGATAAGTAGAAATGTTTGGACAATACTTACAAGTCATATGTTACAGGCCTGGAGCGAATGAGTCCTGAAGAAAATAAAATGAGCCTTCAGCAATTGGATGCTAAGCTAGGTCGTTCTATGGTGAAAGATGTTTATTCATTTGTAAATATAATTTTTGATAAATCTTATTCGCTCTTAGGCTCCTCCTTTGAAGCTAGACCTGCGGGTAAATATAAAATTTTGGACTTCAAGCAGGACAGGAAACTGTCTTATTTAGCTTATGATTTGTTCCAATAGCATTACTGTTTTCAAAAAGTAATCTCAAAAACGTGGAGAAAAATCTGATTTCCTCGTTACATTCAAGCCTCAGACCTTTGATTAGCAATCAGGGCCACGACCACTGAGCGTCACGGCAATAAGTAAGAACTCAATTACTCTGATAGTCGTATCCCGAGAAAAACGAACTCCTACGCAGCCCTAACTAATGAGATAAAATCATTGATTGCAGCATCACCAATGGTGTCATAAAGGACAGGAAAAAAGCTCTCAGCGGAAAATGATATGCCCAAATGGTGTATTCATACTGATTACAGCACCCAATTAAAAGGTTAAAAGTTTTTACCTTAGAAAAGTAAAATTGATATATCCACGATTGCTGCTTCGCTGTAAAGGATAAAGCAAGAGGAAAAAAACTTTGAGTAGGCCGGTAAAAGAGGAAATACATTAATATAAAATTTCCGTTTCGTGATTTCGACTCGCCCACCTGCTCTAGCTGATTTGTTCTACAGCTCAATTATATTGTGACATGGAAACAGGTCACGTGCCAATAACTCTTCACGGTTAGAAGTGTTTATTATGAAAAAGGAAGTGTTGTCATAGAAGGTCATCGTGCGTCAGCATTGTTTCTTTAACATTATAATTTTGTGTTTTTAGTGGCGGATCGCAGTAAAGGGTATTCTAGATAAAAAAAGAGAGATTTTCATTCACGGCCAAGGCATTGAATTCAAGTGAACAAATCCTATTTCATTTGCGATCAAATATCTGTTGCTTCATGAAGTTCGCCGTTGAATCTACAAAGACGAAATCATCTGCTACTTCATCATGTATTCAATCCTCCCACCAAAATTCCAAACGCATTAGAGCAATTAGTACCTTTTGTGATTTTATTTTGACTCAATATCTTGACCATGGGAAAGAAATGTACATTTGAAAGATGATGTTATTTAGTGAATCACTCAAGCATACTTGGATAAAAAGAACTCAGAGTGCTCCCAAAGAGAGTTGAAAGCTACTATGACCTTCCGACAAGATGTTATGAACAGTTTATAGTCTCTACCTTCTGATAAGTCCTTCAGATGCTCTAGTAATCCGAAGGTCGCAGGTTTGAGTCCAATCGAGAGCATTCGTTGATCTTTTTCTCCGAGTATGCCTGTCATTCACTGAATAACATTATCATCTTTCACTTATCAGCACGCTCAAAATTTACCATCTTGAAAATTACATTTATCCACACAAGTGCGATGAACCTGCTTATAAATGCGGCGAAAGAGACGCAGTTTACAGAGGTTCACAAGATTTGTAACTTCTACACTGGTGTTCTACCTGTATAAGCTAACACTCCAGATCACAGTTTAGCGCTTTAATTACGCGCAGTAATTACTATTTTCTAAGGCGTAGAGGACAATTCACATTGAATGATGTGACCAAAAAGTGATAAGTAGAGGAAATACTAAATGCTCTTACACTCGAAAAAAACATAAACAAAACAGAACCGAAACAGCGCAAACGAACACAAAATATCAGTAAAACCTTCGTTGCGACAAACAATGCTTGAGTTCAGTAATGTAGATAAACCACATCTGTACAAGTTTGTTTTCAAGTCACTGCCAAATCATACACCTTAAATATCTGACATTCCTCTTCTTGAACTCGAATCAATTTGCGCGTCGTTTGAGAGGTGAGAAAAAAGAAAAATCAGAGTAAGTTCTGGATAGGCCCTATTCGGATAATGAACAATCCGCAGAAGCCATTTACTTAGGTTCCAGCCATCCGAGTATTAAAATCCATATTCAATAGTCCTAAACGTGTAGTACAAAACTGAAAAGTATAGACACATTTTACGATGACTCACCCACTCACCCTGACCAGACAGACTACTCGAGTAAGAGGAATCAGCCACCGTAAAGAGTTTAAAAGCTACACCAATTTAAGTTATTAACTCAGTTGATAATACTAAATTACCCTGTTATCTGTTATACTCTCCCACCGACGCAGCACCACAGTTTCTTTTTACTCGGGTAAAGGGGTAAGGAGGGGGAGGGGGAAGAGACGAATAGAACATGGTCAGCGATTAAATTTTTATAGATTAACTTTGCCAGTGATCCCGCCGCAGTGTCTAGATAAAGCCTTAATTTTAATAAGCTATGGTTAAATGCCAGAATTTTAACACGGGATTATAAACTATCTCTGGTTAATTATTTTAAAAGCCGGTCACCGGCGGCCAAACGCCGCCCGTAAGACCTCTTATCGGAGTCTATTAACCCCTTGACTCCTAAAGGGTAAGAGGCTTTACGGTCCCTTTTCTGGACGCAACCGCCTATTACATCGTTAGCTGCAACCGTTTATGGAAAAATTTATTGAAATCGCTGCAGTTATGTGGCATTTAGTCAGTTTTCGCAACCAGTCTTTATTAAAGGTTGATGACGAATATTTTACGATTTAAGTTGTATTACATTTAATCCACCGCATGCGTCATTGACCGAAGGGAATGTCACGTACATAGTCATCGCGCGAAACACAAGGTCACCTTTGATCTTTAGACGAAGTTGGTTCAGCCATGTGTGACGTCGCAATACTGAGACGAATTCAAAATGACAACAATTAACAGGATACAGGTCACGATACTAAGACACGTAGGAACATGAGGACAAAAAAAACATTTCCTTAGAGAAAAAAACATCAAAAAATGGGGACAATGACTCAGCAGTAGCGTAGGAATGTGCCTCGTCAACCGTAACGTTTCCTTGCAAACCCCTCTGTCAATCCAACATGCTCTTCACGTCACGTAACACGCGCATGGGTTGAACAAAATCACGCATAACGTTTCACGCGTACGCTTTATTTCACTTGCTCTATGCAAAACTACGAAAGGCTCTCTAGTTTCTCCTAATAACAAATGAACTTAGCGGTAAGTAAAATTTACTGAAACTTTTACTCTTTATAACGCACACATATCGTGACAAGTACCCCCTTGCCAGCGCACCTTTTCATTTTGTATTACTTAAGTCACACACAATCACTTGCGGTTGGCCGTCGGGAGACATCCCGAAGAACACCTGTTGGGCTGAAGATTAATTAATTTCCTATTGTTGTATTTTTGTTAAATTTCTTTGAACTCAGTGTGAACTGCAAAAACAACTTACGGAAATTTGACTCCAGGTTATAATAAACTATTCACGACGGGGAATGACCGAAAACGAATTTCTCCTCACAATATGAACTAGTTGTCAAGCGAAGAAGGTGACGAGGAGAGATCAATTTATTGTTTCAAATATTTTTTTTATTTAACATTAAGTTCTTAAAACTAAGAAGTAAGAAATGTGTGCAGACAGTGACGGAGAATTGATATCTAGATGACTAACGTGGTGAATGAAGATTGATGAATGAGGGAAATCAACTCAAGCGATTAATTATTCCAAGCGCTAAAACAATAAAGCTTCTAGTCGCCCTGACAACAGATCCCACAAAAGCATAGCGGCAGACTCGCGGGGCAATGATGGTCTGAAAGTTAACTAGGAAAATTACAATTATGAATTTGTTGAGGGAAAGCGACTCAGGCTGAGGAAATATGAGCGAATCCTTCAACAGAAGTTTCGCGACGAGCAGAGGAAAGATCACTTATCATGAAAGGTACGTTTGTTCCGAAGCGGGTTATTGAAGGATCGCTTCAACTTTTAGTGTCCTTGTGGCTTTTTGATTTTGAAGATCTATCGCGATTTCACCGGTACAATCCGCTTGCATTAATATTCAAACGATTACACATATAATATGGATAGAAACAACAATTTATACGATATGAAACCATATTCCCTCATACACTAAATAACCCTCAGGATGAATAACAATACTCATACTATTTGTCTGTGTATTTACATAAACAGACACTCTTTTCGAAATTCAATAACAGATTATTGCGATA